ATTCCATTCCATTCCATTCCATTCCATTCCATTCTTTATTCTATTCTGTTCTGTTCTGTTCTGTTCTGTTCTATTCTATTCTATTCCATTCCATTCCATTCTTTATTCTATTCTATACTATTCTTTATTCCATTCCATTCCATTCCATTCCATTCTAATCTTCTGCTCTGTTCTTCAAACTTATGGAAGTTTTGAGAATTCTTCACCACTGGAAAGCTCACCAAAGAGGATCCAAGTAACGGAAACTTTTTGCCTATGTCAATGTTTTTACCAAGTTATGGGTAAAAGATCTCCAGAAGTTGTGGGCTCTCCATCACTGGAGATTTTTTTTGAAGAAGAGATTGGACAGCCTTTTGCGTGAAATGGTACAGTTTCTCCTGCCTGAGCAGGGGTTCAACTAGAAGCCCTTCAAGGTCTCCTTTCTAACTCCATTATTCTGTTATTCTATTTTGGTCTGTTGTCCGGATTTCAATGCAGTCAGGAAGGATTGATTGTAAAATCTATAGAGGACAATAAATGAATCCTCTTAATCACATTTAGGGTTACTTCTGTCCAGGAATTTATTTTGTAACCTCAGCAAAAAGCAGCAATGAGCATCTAAAGCCATTCTATTTGCATTTTGTGAAAAAAGACGGGGACCGGAACATTTGCTGCCTACCTCGTCTTATTTTTAAAAAATTTCAACCCCCCCGCCGCCCCAAAAAACCCCTTCTAAATCCAATTTACCCGAGAGTCCAGCTGCTGCATATACGACCAGAGATATTCAATATTAGCTCCGAAAGGATGAACGTGAAGGAATGTGGATATGATACCTGTATTAAAATGAAATTAAAACAAAAAAAAAACTGTGATAATTGATTCAGGCCCTACAGAAATAGGATAAAATAATTATTGTACATAAATGCACCTGAATTTCAACCAAAAAGTCAGCAGTTGTGTTTCTGAAACAATTCAACAAGAAGACAAATTTCAACCCAAACCCTTCACTTTCAAGAATAAGAGTTCATCTCCAAGTGACAAAAAAAAAAAGAGAGAGAGAGAGAGAAGAAAATATTTATTCAATGATTCAAAGACGTGCTGGAATTTTTTGTAGCTTCGCGTGCTGTGTTTGATTTGCCCATCAAAATTTGTAGGCATTCGAATAATAAAATTCTTGCTCTTTTTTTAAATAAACTTCTTTGGTGGCTCTGGTTAGGAACATGTGTTGGCTATCAACCCTGTTCAGCATTAGGCTGCCTTGAATTTTTTTTTTTTTTTTGTAATAATTTCTGCCTGGGTTGCATCCAAATTCAGATTAGTGGGCAAATTAAACCACATTTTTTTCCATTTATATTTTTCTCATTTTGAAAATCTCTTTGCAGGGAAGCTCATGTGACAAACAGAAGCTAGTATAGAGGATCAATGGATTAAAGGGGAAAAAATTACTTTCTTCCCCCTTAAATTAACTCTCTCTGTGCTAAGCAGCAAAGGTCTACAAAAATCTAGCTTGATCATATGGATGGCCGCAGAGAAAATTAGCCAATGGATGGCTACAGAGAACACAGACAGGTAGTCCACAACTTACAATCATTCCTTTAGTTATCATTTGAAGCATGATTCAAGTATCAAGAAACACGGGAACGCTAAAGCAGGGGTCTCCAGCCTTGGCCACTTTAAGACTTGTTGGACTCCAACTCCCAGAATTCCTCAGCCAGCAAAGCAAAACTTGCTGAGGAATTCTGGGAGTTGAAGTCCACAAGTCTTAAAATGGCCAAGGTTGAGACCCCTGGTCTGCTGGCTGAGGAATTCTGGGAGTTGAAGTCCACAAGTCTTAAAGTGGCCAAGGTTGGAGACTCCTCTTCTAAAGGTTTTCTGTGAATAATGCATTGGTGTGTAAGCGATAACCAACAATTCTAAACCAGCACGTCTATATTTTAGAAAGTTGAATGAAACACGAATTTCATGAGATCATCATCTTCTTTTAATGACCCCATAATCCCTTGTGGGGTGGCGTCTGGGCAACTGAATGGAGCTGTGTGTTTACTGGCTGGATGCCCTTCCTGTTGCCAGGGCAGAGTTTTGTTCAGCCGATATATTCTCATTGTGTCCAGAGAGAGAAATATCTGCCCCTACCCGGGATTGAACTCACAGCCTCCTGATTGTAAGGCGAGAGCTCCACCTCTAGGGCCACCACACCACTCCACAAAGTTCATGAGATGTTTTCACCAAATCATTAAGACCCAGTTGCAGTTCTTTTCACAAAGGGCCACATTGCATGGATTTATGAAAAATGTTTAGTTTCAGAGATGTGTTTGTTATTTCTTAGTTTAGCCAACTTATCCAAATATAGGGAGTTTCCACCTCTTTTCTGGGGTCTCTCACCCACTGAAACGCAGAATACTTCCGAGGCTGATTCTCCTTTTTGAAGGCCTGACCAACATTATGCTTGGAAAAAGGTCACGGAGAGTTAGTGTCATGCTCCTGTTGGAGTCTGAATCCGAGGAGGAAAACGAACAGCTGACACAAGGACTGGGAGTGTGGCTCTGTTGGCTGTGGAGGAAACTGGGGAAGGGCAAAATCCAGCTGGGCAGAGCAGGGGTGAGGGAGAACAAGGGAGAGGGAGTTCAGAGGACCCAGGCCCACACCCTCTTTATCCTAGGTCACACAGGGAGGAACGGAGAAGAGAGCAACGTGGGTTGCATGGCTTACAGGGTAGGAAAGGGCCCTGATTCCCTTCATTAGCCACACCTGGGAAGGGAGTTTAAAAGAGATGCAAGCTGAGTGTGGCGTCTGCTGGGAGCAAACGTGAGTTTATCTTGTGTTGACTTTGGTTATCTGAGTTCCTGGCATCCTCCCAACCACGTTGAATTATGGCCGTTCCTTCACATCTGGAATTCCTTCTCTTGCCCTGCCAGACTAATTACCTCATCTTGCCTTGATTGGACTTGTAGTTACAGTTTTTGTTGACCACGTTTTGGCCTTGATTCTCTGCAGCCAAAGGCTGTTCCTGGGAGAGTTTTTCTCCAGCCAGAAAGTAACCAGGACATTGGGGGCAAAGTTGGAGCTAATAAAGGGACTCCTATGGATGATCTGACTGGGTTTGCCTTTGTGCCACGCCCCAGGTCATCTCAGTTACCTCTTACCTATCAATAAAGCTTCTTTCTCCGACTTTAGTGGCTGGCTTCGCTTCTCAGCATTTTTTTCTCTGTCCTGGTTGACCAACGGCACCGTCAACCCATTGATTTCCTATGAGGTTTAAAAAACAAAATTAAATAAAACAGGTCGTTCTGTGGAATACATCCATGTCAATAGGCACTGTTGCCATTCATCCCCTCTCTCTCTATTAAAAAAAAGGACATTACTTTAATTTCCAGCTACAGGCAAGATAATTATAAATTATTGATCTGTTTTCCAACACTCAGTAATTCCCAACGTGATCTAAGGAAGGGAAAAAAATCCAATTTTTTCTGTCTCTCTCTCTCTCTTTCACTCTCTTTCTCTATCTCTCTTTCACCCTCACTTTCTCTCTCTCTCTCTCTTTCACTCTCTCTTTCTTTTTCACTCTCTCCCTCTCTCTTTCACCCTCTTTCTCTTTTTCACAGTCTCTCCCTCCCCCCCTCTCTCTTTCTCTCTGTCTCCCTCTCTCATTCACTCTTTTTCTCTGTCTCTCTTTCACTCTCTCTCTCACCATCTCATAATTGCCTATAACCAAAACAGGACCGGACTGAGCAATAAAGAAGAATATATATATATATATATATATTTAACCATCTGCCCTTTGTCGAATAAAATTGACCTCGCCTTTGGATTGCTCCAATCTCGAGATAAGTATAGGATAAACAAGTGGATAACAGCGTGTTCAATTTTTTTTCTTACTCCCAGTTCTTGCAGCAGGGAGGGGAAAAAAAATAACAGAAAGCTGTGAATAATTTACAATCATGGGGTGAAAATAATCGTTTTCCACGGAATGACACAACTTTGGCAAGGAGAAGTGACTCCTTTCCAAAAACAACACAACAACATCTTCCCCCGTATACAAGAACTCGGCACCTAAATATAGTCCTCAAACTTACAGCAGTTCATTTAGTGACCATTCAAAGATACAGGGCACTGACTGATGACCATTTTTCACACTTACGGCCATTGTAGCTTCATTAGGCTCATGGGATCGGATGCTTGGCAACTGACTCATACTTATGACGGTAGTAGTGTCCCAAGGTGATCCCCATTTGCGATCTTCTGACCAGCAAAATCCACAGAGAAGTCAGATTCACTTAACAACCATGTGGCTAAATTATCAGCTGCAGTGATTCACTTAACAACCATGGCACGGAAGGTCATAAAATGAGTCAAAACTCACTGAACAAATGTCTCACTTAACAACAGAAATTTTGGGCTCAATTATGGTCATAACTCGAGGCCTACCTGTATCCTTTTACAGAGGCAGATAATTTCATTACAGTCAAAAACTCCTTAGGTCGATTTATTTGATTTAGATCAATTTATTTAAACTATAGATCAAAGTTCTATAATTTGAAGGAAGTTGGCACTAAATTGTTACAGGCTTCAGCTCACAACAAACCCCCTTGCTCGTACACAGGTGGTCCTCAACTTACAACCTCAATGGAGTCCAACATTTCTGTCGCTAAGCAAGGCTGTTAAGTGAACTTAGTCCCATTTTGCAGCCTTTCTGGCCACTGTTGTTAAGGGAAACCTGGCTATCTAAAAGTTAGTCACGCTGTTGTTAAGCAAATCCAGATTCCCCCATCGACTTTGCTTCTCAGAAGGTCACAAAAGGGAATCATATGAACCTTGGAAGGTGCACCTGTCATAAGTTCATTCCCGTTGACCTGGGAGGAAAAAGCCTTTTTTTCCAGATTTCAAGGGACGCCATTTGCCACAGGTCGCCAAACCCACTTTTCCAAAGTCTTTGCACGGCCCCTTCGGATCGCATAACTGTCGACACCCAGATGCTTGCAAAACACATTAAAGGCCAAATGCAAGCTTTAGGAGAAAAAAAAACCAAACCAACAACCAGCAGGCAGTGCAGTTGTAAGCTTGAAAGTGGGTTAAAAGAAGAACCAGGAAAATGGGTCAGTCAGGAGCTGGGAATGAAATGTCCTTTTAAAAAAAGATTTTCTTAGGAAAAGCAAAGAGGGGGAAATAATCGTGGCGTTTGGACTCTAGAATTAAAGTTTCTGTCATGCCCCTGTCAGAGCCTGAATCTGAGGAGGAAGACGAACAGCTGACAGGGAGTGGAAATGTGGCTCCATTGGCTGTAGAGGAAACTGGGGGAGGGCAAGGTCTGGCTGGGCAGAGCAGGGGAGAGGAAGAACAAGGGAGAGGGGATTCAGAGGAAAACCCAGGCCCACCCCCTCTTCATCCTCGAGCATGCAGGGAGGAATGGAGAAGGGACCAACGTGGGTTGCATGGCTTGTCGGGGAGGAAAGGGCCTTGATTCCCTTCATTAGCCACACCTGGGAATGAGAGTTTAAAAGAGATGCGGCAGCTGCTGGGAGCAAATGTGAATTTATTTTGTGTTGACTTTAGTTATCTGTGTTCCTGGTGTCTTCCCAACTGTGTTGAGTTATTGCTGTGCCTTCACGTCTGGAATTTCTTCTCTTGCCCTGCCGGACTAATTGCCCCATTTTGCCTTTACTGGACTTATAGTTACAGTTTTTGTTGACCATGTTTTGGACTTGATTCTCTGCAGCCAAAGGCTGTTTACCTGGGAGAGTTTTTCTCCAGCCAGAAGGTAACCAGGACATTGGAGGCAAAGTTGGATCTAATAAAGGGACTTCTGCTGATTATCTGGCTGGGTTGCTTTTTCAAGAGGCAACTGGACTGTTTTTCCTTGTAGATGTTTTGCTTCTCATCCAAGAAGTTTCTCCAGTTCTTCTTCTTCAGAATTGAAGGAGCTTCTTGGATGAGAAGAAAACATTTTTAAAGGAAGGTCCATGGAGATTCTTGGTTCTCCAGGTCATGGTTGTCCCAAAAGTGCTTTTTTCAAGAGGCAACTGGACTTTGTTTTTCCTTGAAGACGTTTTGCTTCTCATCCCAGAAGCTTCTGAAGAACTGTTCTCTAGAACAGAAGAAGCTTCTGGGATGAGAAGTGAAATGTCTTCAAGGAAGAACCAAGAAAATCCAGTTGCCTTTTGACAAAGGATTTTTGGGACATCCTGAATAAATGGCTGTTCACTCTTTTCTCACAACCAGTACTCTACACTTTCCCACTGGTTAATTGTTCTCACTGTGAAGTAATTTCTTCTTAGTAAAACTCGCCTGAAATTTAACCTTGGCTTGCTTGTTACTTCGTGTTCGAGGCTGTTGAATGAATGCAGCACTTTGGTTAATTTAATGGCTCGATATAAGCCGTCCAAATCAAACTCAATTTCTACCTGAACTCGTAAAACCCAGTACTCAATTTAAGCTGTGTTGTGTGGGTGTTGCTGGTCAGTGCTGATGAACTCAACGGGGTGTGATATTGTGGTTCTCTTAAGCTGCGCCGAGAATGCAGCATTTCCTATGAGAAGCACCTTAAAGTTTATCGAGCAAAAATAGAAAATATAAGTGTCTGTCGGTTGTGGATTTAGATTTAATGGAGACTATCACAACTGCCTCTGGCATTCATAAAAGAACATAAGGTCAAGCAACATCATTGTTTCGGAAATGAAAAATAATAGATCACCAAGGACTAGAATCTTATAAATGTCAAGGAAAGACAAAGGAGGATTTGAAATTGTATGTACACAAGACTCCTCCATAATTGCTGGTTCACCTGAAGATTTCCTAAAATGGTTTACACTGATCAAATTTGCTTCAATTCAAACTATTAATTTCCTTCCAGATAATAAAGTTGACTGTCTGTGGAAATTCTCCGTCCTCAGTTGTCCCAAAAGTGCTTGTTTTTCAAGAGGCAACTGGACTTCCTTGGTTTTTCCTTGAAGATGTTTTGCTTTTCATCCAAGAAGCTTCTTCAGTTCTTCTAAAATTGAAGAAGCTTCTTGGATGAGAAGCAAAACGTTTTCAAAGAAACATCCATGGATATTCTCATCGTTCAGATCAAGGTTGTTTCAAAGGTGCTTTTTTTCAGGAGGCAACTGGACTTTCTTTGTTTTTCTTTTGAAGAGGTTTCGCTTCTCGCCCAGGAAGCTTCTTCAGTTCTGAAGAAGAAGAACTGAAGAAGCTTCTTGAATGAGAAGCAAAACATTTTCAAGGGAATATCCATGGAGGTTCTCCATCCTCCAGGTCAGCATTGTCCCAAATATGCTTTTTTCAAGAGGCAACTGGACTCCCTTGGTTTTCTTTGAAGAGATATTCCTTCTCATCCCAGAAGTCTTTTTGTCTCTTCTTCTTCAGAATTGAAGAAGCTTCTGGAATGAGAAGCAAAACATTTTCAAAGGAGATGTCTCCGGATATTTTCTGTCCTCCAGGTCGTGGTTCTTTCAAAGGTGCTTTTTCAAGGGGCAACTGGACTTTCTTGGTTTTTCTTTGAAGACATCAGAAGGTTGCAAAAGCAGATTGCATGACCCCGGGATGCTTTAACCGTCATAAATAGGAAGCGGTAGTCAAGCATCTGAATGCAAATCATATGACCGTGGGGATGCTGAAATGGTCATAAGCATGAAAAATGGTCATAAGCCACTTTTTTCAGTACCCTGTAACTTTGAAGGGTCACTAAATGAACTATTGCAAGTCAAGGACTACCTTCCTCCACTGTGCAACCTTACAACTCGCCTCTCACAATTGCCTTTTTTTGTTCTGCTTGGTATAAAACAGGACTTCATCTTAGCTAGCCTTGAATCAATAATTCTCTCATTCCGTGACTTATAAAAATCTGACTCTGAGGTAAATATTCACTCCTGGAGTTGCTGAATGATTATATGTGTGTGTGTGTGTGTGTGTGTGTGTGTGTGTGTGTTTGTAGATTTTCATGGGTACAGGTATGCAGGTCTTGGCATGTTCGGGGCTTTTCCCATGTAAGATTGAGAGTATCTTGGCAATGTTTCGATGAGGTCCCATTCGCCATCTTCAGGCTGGTGCTTTCGGCTTCGTGCTTGTGAGAGCAAAGTGTCATCAGAGCTGCCGTCGCTCTAAAAATACTGGTGGGGAGGTGTGGTGTGCTGGCTCTGTTGTAAGTGGGCTGGTTGGCTGTGTTGTTATTTCTTGATTGGTTGATGGAGTTGATGTTTGCAGATTGGCTGGCTTTTTCGTAACAACACGTGTGGCCGAGTCACTGGCTGTGT